GCACCGCCGACGCCGCGGTGGGTTATACCCTGGGCTAAGTAATACAAGGAAAAGTGCTACGTGAAGCTCTATCTTTCTCCAAGTCCCCTCTCACCCTTAACATCGTCCCCAGTTGCTCTCTCCGTCTCCGTTGCTCGCGCGCGCTCGCTCCCTATCTCGTCCTCGCTCTATTTGTCTATCCTGCCTGCCTGCCTGCCTGCCTGCCTGCCTGCCTGCCTGCCTTTCCTTCCCTTCGCCTTGGTGGCACTCTTCCCTTCGCTTGCGGCTCCCGCTCTCGCTGCGCTTCATCCGCGTCTTGCGCTCCCGCTTTATCTTCTCCACCCTTTCGCCCTGCGCCACCGGTGTGCATCAGCGCAGGTGCACGTCGCGAGATGCATCCTCGAGGGGAATAGGGTTGCTTTGCGCGGATAGGGTTAGCTTTGTTACGCTGACGGCTACGCGGGGAGTTAAGTAACGGATGAATATCGCCGGCTGCTTATTATCGAGTCACTCCGACGGATGATATTTTAGCGGACGAATACACGTATTGCGACATTCGCATATCGCGCGTTCACGTGCGTTCTTCTCTTATATTTCTCTCATCTGGTATGTAGTATATCTCGCGGCAAATATATTATTATGATACTGTCGATATCGAGTCTAAACCATATATTAAATTGTATAAAATAATAGTATAATATAAAGAATCTTAATTTTCTCATTTTCGCACTGAAGAATTAACAATGTTCTCATTCTTGCACTAATTGAAAAAATTTATTCAGCATTGTCCTCTTCATATTCATTTGTGTCTTGATTCTGGTCAGTAAGTTATTCGTAAACTCTTGTAGAAAGATTATAAAACATACATTGAAATGATTAATATTACTTTCCGACCGAGATAGTAGTAAAATCGAGATGATAAGTCGAGTGAGTGGAGCATGTGGATTGCTCCGGTTGCGGTAAAGAAAATACAAAGGAATACCTTACATACGCGAGATGTATTCCTACACGCGCGCCAGTGGAGTCGCATTGCACCTCTGCGCTTCAATGGAACAACCTTTTATCCGAAGGAACTGAAAACGTTAGACGTTACGTCGAGGAGTGCGCTCTTACGTACGCGCATGTAAATCGGACTCCCCGAAAGAGGTTCGCCCGCGGAAAACGTGGAAACGATAGTGAGAGGAGTTTCAACACTTCGCTTCGAGTGTGGCGTATTCACCGGCAAAGAATCAACAATGAAAATATAGCCGGTGGCTGAATCACAAAATTCTTAAGCTTCTTATTCGCGGACATTGCGCCGTGTCACTTTACGGATGTACACTCGACTAACGCCTATTTTGCAAACGCACGAAAACGTGTTACTATTTCAATAACGTACATATATACAATCTTTAAAATATTGTAGATATATTTGACGTTCCACTAAAATGCACTCCACTTGTCTTTTAATTTTACACGTCAGTCACGATATCACGAGCTCTAAATTTTGAATTTATTGTATATCGATTTAAATGAATAAAACTATAATAATATAACACGATAACCTAATTCAGATAATAATCGACAAATTCTTTAGTTTGTTTTAAATATCGAGATCATATTCCAAAAAACTTAATTAATAAATTTTTTATATCCTTTGTTTAATAAAGATTAAGAGCATGTTTAATGATATTCGATTTTATAAAAATTTTATCGTTATTTAAATTATTTAATCAATTTTTGTGTTAGCACATTTTTTGTTACTTTCTACTATATTTTATATCGTGAAATTCTTTTGAAATGAAAAGAGTGAATTTTTTTATAACTGAGAAAAAAGTATTATTATAAAAAAGGATTTAATTAATAAAGATTTTTCGTTATCAGGACGTGCTAACTTGATACACCTATAAGTATGCGTATGATACAAAGTGATAAACTCTTTTTACGTCTGTTGCAGGCTGACAGTTCACTTTCAACACGAAACATCTACATATGTGAAGTCGATGTGCAGACAGTGGATGAAGGTATGGCTTCGGTTCTTAATAAATATGGTTTCTTCGTGGTACGGAAGAGACATTATAAGTAGCGGTATTAAGCGTGTTTTTAACCTTTTTACGTGTGTAAGCGCCTCTTAGCCTTTATGAATATGGATATGCGGTCCTTGTGTATGTTACTTTAAAACCCCTTATTCTGCCACTCTAGTAATATAAGTTTACTTTCTGTTTTTTTTTATTATTATATTTTTGTTTTTAGTAATTACTTTATTTTACAAAATAGATGAATGTTTAAAGCATAAAAACTTACTCGCTCGTGAAAAGTCCAAAAATAAAAAAGGAAAACAAAAAATAATTTTTTTACGAAAAGATAAAAAATATTCTCTTAATATAAAAATATAGACGTGGTATTTCTCAACAAATTTTGTTTGTCTCAAACACTATCAAATAAATAGCCAGAGAGCAACAGGGGAAACGCTAAATTCCTAATGGATTGGTTTTTTACAACGACGGCTCGCGCGATTCCCGCCGCGATTTCAATTAATCTCTCCTATCGGAGAGTATCGATACCGGCCTCGCGTCGTTCTCGCTTTCGCACTCCTCGTCTCCTTTCCACGCGCGACGCAAACTTTCACGAAGCGCCGAAGTTTCGGATAAGCCGGCGCGTTTGTCAAACGGGAAAGTGCGAAATTGTGCGTCGCCTTGTAAGCCCGCGTGGGTCGCTTCTCGCGGCGCGAAATTAGCGAGAGTGAAAAGTAAGGGACACCCCCCAGCGTTGCTAATGCCCCGACACCCCGAAGGGCGTGCATTCCTTCGTGCCGAGGGTAGCCAAGATAAATTACATAACAATATAAGTGGGCGTCGCGAGAGAAAGAACGAGTCCGCCGGAGGGGCGGAAAGAAGAATAAAGCGACGTGCAAACAGTTTGCCTCGCGGAATCCACTTGTCCTGAGGACAGTCGCGCGTTGAAAAAGAACAACTCGTTTGTTTAAACTCCCACCCCACGATGTTACCTCGAAAAGTTTTCATCACTCATAAAATAGTCTTGTAAAACCGAAATGATAATCATTTAAGATCTATCGTGATAATTTTGTAAACTCTTCCACCAATTTAGCGAGGAACTTTCCGTATATTTTTCTTTATAAAAATATCAATAGCTCCATAATTCATAATATAATTATTCTAGCGTCTGAAGTAAAAAAGATATATTTTTACAGTTTTATTGTATATTATTTGAAAAGGGAAATTTTTCCTCTGCAAGAATTTACTATAAAAATACCTGAGAAGATACTGGATCAAAAAACAAGGCGTTTCGCATACTGCTGCATTATAAATGCGATCTCTCGGGATGTCCCGGAAAAAAGATTGGGCTCTCGGTAGGGACACGGAGAAGGCTATTTGTTCCAGTGACATTGTTTCCACTAATAACGCGTAACATGCGGTCGAAGAAGAAAATAAAGCGCCAACAATACGCGACGCGAGAGTGGTGGTCCCTTTCGTGAAGTGTGCGAGGGGTCGGCGATTCATCCCTTCATTATTCGAGAATTAGTAACCCCGTTTCAATCTCCCCCTTCTCCCGTCTCGCCCCCTCGCCCTCCCCGGCCTCCTTCTCTTCCTCCTCCTCCTCCTCCTCCCTCCTTCCATTCGCTCCCTTTCTTGCCGCGCTCTGACCCCTTTATCTCGATGTTCGTGACTGCCTTTTCCGTCGTTGCATTGTTCGAAACGACGTTAATGGGGGTAAACGTTAAACCGATTTCAACGGCGGCCACGCGCTTTCGTATATTTCGAGTGTTTCGCTATATATATTACCGCTATCAACCGCGCCGACGTCGTCGTGATGAGAAGAAAATAGACACTCGATTTTAAGCAACGACTCGTTTTCCCACTCACCTTACTCAATACTAGTCGCACAAGGCCGAGACGAAGCTAAAATAATCTACATAACGGTAAAATTCTATTTTTACGAGAATTTCAACTGTCCCGCTCTTCCTTTCTCGCGAAAAATTGATGGGAAACGTTCATTTATTATAAAGCATAATAAATTTTTAACGATTAAAGATATATTAGAGTGTATGTGTATAAACAAATAAACATATAGTGGCTGAGTAATCCTCAGCGGACAGATAATCGATGTTTTAGCAAGTAACTTTCAATATTGGATATCTTCGTAATAAAGTTTCACAGTCTGTTAAAAACAGCTGAAAAGTGATTAAAAAAACAAACCTTGTTGTCTAGCATCTTTTTGAGTAGATCTATAATTAATACGCTTATTAAATTTTTTTAGCAACAAATGTACAGCATATATGTTCGTACAATTTTTTTCTTTTCAAAAAACCTCATCAGATTTGTGGAATATTCGAAATCTGCTTATTCTGTAAATGTGTTGATGTTCAGGAGGAAACTGTCAATTATAATATCAAAAAAATATCTTCTTTGGAAATTAACCAGATTTCCGCTATTTTTGTTATTGAGCTTAACGCAAGAAATAATGCAGACAAAATTGAATTGTGTGGAACTGAACAGAAGAAGGAAATTCGAGAGAAACTGTCGCGACTAAGACGCAAAAGAAGCAAATGTCAAAAGTAAAGAATTTGTATTAACCTGTTTTATCTGATATATTTCCAATAGTTCTTAATCACATCCGCGTGGCAGACGAGTGACGTTTACAAAATACGAATAAAAGTCTATCCATAAAGGGCACCTGATTAGTCGCTTTATAATATATTCATGACTTTCTTCTCGCTGCTTATAGAAACTCGTAATCTACAAGGTTGAAACGTCATTTCCAACAAAAACTGTCGCTTTTTATTAAAAACTTTCACCGTGTCCATATTTGTAAAATACTGACCGCTACAAATTATGCTCGAAATGCCTCAGTTAATTTTAATATCCGTAGAGAGATCGCAATTTTTAAAAGAATGAGCTTTATTTGTAAACATAATTTAATGTACCTTTCTATTTGTATACTAAAAATCGGACAAATAACGCATTTCACTTTTTTACATTTATCAATTTCTCAAATTCAATTCAATCAAGTTGTCGAGAATTATTTTAATAGATTTTTAGCTATTTATGATAGGATTGAGTGCGATGTATTGAAATGCATGTATATAGTTGCGTTCTCTTTTCATTCGCTCGTTCTGTTAAAGAGTTAAACAGAGTCGCAACTGAAAAGGTGAAAAGGTGCGAAATAGGTTTCCCGGTTTGATCTCCTTAAAGCCCAATAAACTTTCTCGCCAACTGTGTCTATACCCATCGCGCTCGACGTGTGCGCGTCTGTCCGCTATATCCCATAACCCACATCGCGCTTATTGGTTCCCGATCGATACCGTCCGCTATCGGTCCGCTCATTGTCGCTCGCATTCTCGCGAATGCCAATTATCCGAACCGCAAGCAATCGCCGAGATCAATGATGTCGTTGCGTAAACGCGTGTCCGCGCGTGTTGCATCTGCAGATCATTTATTTAAATTTAAGCAAGCCAGTGCCGCGGAAACGCACACCACGGAGCGTCCGCGCGTACGTATACACACTTGCGCAGAAACACGCACACATACCACAGCGGAGAGAAAGGCCGACACCTCGGCGCCAAACTCACCCTCCTGAGACTCCGCAGACTCACCTCCATTCCCCGCCGCGCCCCACGCTCCACCGCCAAGCTTCAACCATCCCCCGTCTCCGCGCGCGCGAGGCATCCCAATCGCAGCCCCCGTTTCGCAAACCCACACCCTCCACACTCCCCCCACGCCTCCCCCTCTCGTCCTCTACCTTCTCTCCGTCCTCTCTAACCGTGGCAGTTCTCTCCTACACCACT